TGTATGTGGCTGGCGCCTTAGCCGCTTGAGCCACAGGCACCGAGCCATGACCTGCTTTTTCAAGAAAATTAACCTCTAAGAAAATAAAAATGGCGGGACGCTGTGGCTCATGCCTGTAATCCTAGAACTCTATGAGAGGGTGAGGTGAGTGGATTGCTTGAGCTCAGGAGTCAGAGACCAGCTTGAACAAGAGCCAGAGCCCCCCCTCCCCATCTCTACTAAAAATAGAAAAAAAAATTAGCTGGGTGTTGTGGCGGGCACCTGTGGTCCCACCTACTTGAGAGGCTGAGGCAGGCAAATCGCTGGAACCTAGGAATTTAAGGGTGCTGTAAGCTATGACGCTACAGCACTCTAGCCCGGGCAACAGAGTGAGATTCCTTCTCAGAAAAGAAAAAAAAAAAAAAGAAAAGAAAAAAAGAAAACAAGGAAGTTAATATTTAATACCTGTGTAGAGCACTGTGACATAAAAAATAAAGCAAAATAAGGAGGAATAGAGTGCATGTCCTCTTGGAGGTGTTCTGGAAAGGCCCAAATAAAAATGCTGAAAGAGGGTGGCGCCTGTGGCTCAAAGGAGTAGGGGGCCGGCCCCATATCCCAGACGTGGCAGGTTCAAACCCAGCCCCGGCCAAAAAAAAAAACAAAAACAAAAACAAAAAAAAAATCACCTGCGGAAAAAAAAAGAAAAAAATGCCGAAAGAATTATTCATTGTTTATCTGGAATTCAAACTTAACTGGCAGTTCTACACTATATTTTACCTGGCAACCCTAATTCTTAAGGAAAAGAGAATGTAGGCCTTTCGGGGTTCAGTGAGATTGGCTTGATCTAAGGATCTGGGAAAGGAAAATTCGGCAAGCAGGTCCAGCGCGAGGGGTAACTTGCAGAGTCGGGGTTCCGGCCCCTCGGCCTTGAGGGGCGGGGCCTGAGGTTAGGCGGGGTACAAGGCCCCGCCCCGTCACGTGCCAGTCCCCGCCTGCCGCGTCGGCAGCCCAGGAGCGCGCCTGCGGTGGCGGCTGCTGAAGTGCAGCGGTAGCCAGATCTGCAACACGGGGCTGGGTTCATGGCGGCGACGGCGGTGGCAGCGGGGAGCGGGGTCGCGGCGGGGACTGAGTCGGCCGAAGGGCCCCGGGGCCCGGTGGCGGCGCTGGAGCTGTGGCTCAGTGAGTAGCCCGGCCGCCCGTCGGCGCGAGCACGTGAGGCCGCGCTCCCCGCCTCCCTGGGCCTTTCTTGGGGGCTGGCGGCGGTGGGGGAGTCCGTCGTGGTGGAGCCGGGTCTGGGCCTGCGCGGGGGCGTGGGGGTTAGCCTCGCCGGCTGCTATCCCGAGACCCCGCCGGAGTGCAGACCTGATCCTGCGCTCGGCCCCTCCTCGGCGACCACCCCCTCGCCAGCAGCAGTGCTAGCCCCTCACCAGCAAACGAAATGGCTAACGTTCCTGGGCTGTTCTTGGCTGCCGAGCGTTGTGTTGAAGGCATGTCAGCCATTGTTAATCCTCATGACGACCCCACGGTAGCTTCTATTAGTAGCCCCATTTGAGAAAGTGAGACATTTAAGCTTACGGAGGTTAAGTCTTGCAAGAAACGCAGTCGGTTTGAAGCTGAGAAAGATTTGTACACGGCTGCTGCCTTTAATGTCAAGGAGTAAGCCTTTCTGCCTTTTATGCGTTTTTACTCTGGCCGGACTTGTTCTGATGTTGCCCCACGAAAGCTTCATGGTAGCATTTTGGGGTAAGAGTTATACCCGTTTTACCGTGAAAAATTGAGGCTCAGGGAAGATAAATTGAGGCTCTACTAAGTGCTGGGGATACTGAGGTGCGTAACACAGGGTCCTTGCTCAGAGAGACCTTTTTTCGTGGACTCATGCTGACGATAATATCACCTTATTAACGGGACTTGGCGAGGAGGGATTTTGTTCAGCGTGGGGGTGGTTAGGTATTGGTTTGTTTACCTGGAGGTTGTCAGGAATTGGTTTGTTTACCTGGAGGTTGTCACGGCGGACCTAGCATTTGAACAATGGAGGCGACCACATTCCAGGCAAAGGAAACTGCAAAAGCTGGGGACAAGACAATGTGGGGCATTCTGAGAGCAAGGAGGTCGGTCTGCCTGAGTGCAGTAATCCGGAAAAGAGGCTGCACGGCCATTTGGGGCAAGATCTTCGAGAGTCTTCTGTGTTGCAGAAAGAAGTTTATTTTATTTGGGGGCGGAGAGAGAAGCTGTTGTGGAGATTTCAGTGGGAGAATCTGATCCAGGAGTTAAGTGATGTAGAGAGGGTGAGACTTTAGACAGGGAGAGAAGCGAATAAGCCTTTTTCTGTAGTGTGTAGGGGCTGCAGAAGGATAGGAGTGGGGAGGGAGAGTAGAAATAATAGCAGGCAGAGTTAGCAGCCTTGATGCTTACGTTAGAGGCAAGAGACAAGGAGGAATATAGGATGAATCCCAAGTTTCAGGCTCTTTTTGACTGGTTGGTTACAGCTTCCCCTGTGAGGAGGAGCTGGTTTAGGAAGGGAAGGTTAAGTTGTGGAGTTTGAGGTGTTTGTAGCATAGTCAAGAAGAGATGCTGTCAAGGCAGTTGGCTTGCTCCAGAGAGGGTAAGGGCTCGAGGCATAGATTGGAAGTCTTCAGTTCACTGTGAGCTTGCCCAGGGAGGCTGAGTATTAAAAGGAGCAGAAGTTTGGGGCGGCACCTGTGGCTCAGAGGAGTAGGGCGCTGGCCCCATATGCTGGAGGTCACAGGTTCAAACCCAGCCCTGGCCAAAAACTGCAAAAAAAAAAAAGAGCAGAAGTTTGGAGGTGAAAAAAGGGAAACACCAGCATCAAAGAGGCAGATAGGAAGACCAGCCTAAAGACCAAAGATAGAACAGAAACAGGCAAAGGAGAAACTAGGGAAGAGGGAACCCAGGATGTCAGAGGAGGGGTTGGGTAGGTAGCTTTGCTAGAGTATGGAGTTGGGCATGGTGGTTCATGCCTGTAATCCTAGCACTTTGGGAGGCCAGAGTTGGAGACCAGCCTGAGGAACATAGCAAAACCCCATCTTTACAAGAAAGTTTTTTAAAAATTAGCTGGGTGTGATGGCACATAGCTAAAGTCCTAGCTACTTAGGAGGCTGAGGCAGGATGGTCCTGTGAGCCCAAGAGTTTGAGATTGCTGTGAGCTATGACTGGGCCACTGCACTGAGAGCCCAAGAGTTTGAGATTGCTGTGAGCTATGATTGGGCCACTGCACTTTACCCTGGGCAACAGACCAAGACCCTGTCTTATTAAAAAAAAAAAAAAAAAGTGGCAGTGTAGAATAAGAAAGGAGAAGGGGGAACTTTGAATTTGTTTAATTAACAGGTTATTAATGAGATATTTTTAAGCTCAATGGAGGAGACAGATGGTAGTTGATTTAGGAGGCAATGGAGAACAGAAGGCTTAGACTGGTGTTGCTGGGGTGGGGGAAGTAGCCCAGGTAAGGGGACAATGAGCAGCTGACCTGGGTAGAGGAACTGAGAAGGAGTACCTGGAACTAACACTGCCCAAGGAGGGGGAGTTTCTCAGTTCTAGCTTTTTGGGATCAATGTCTCAAAGTTACTAATCTTCCATTTTTTTTAGGGAGAACTAGAACCTATATTTTAATATAAAATCTCTTATTTTCAAGTTAGTGCTTACTTTGAAATGTAATTTGGGAAAGACCAGGCAGATTGCATATGTACCCATTTTCAGTGCCACTATCGCACCATCTGTATGTTAGGGACAAAGGTGGAATAGGGAACTTGAAGGTGGGTGGAGAAGTTTGAAAATGGTGAGAGCAACAGAAGGGAGCACACCTAGGCACTTGACAGCTGGGTTTCTCAACCTGTACACTATCAACATTTTGGCCATTTGGGGACATTTCTTTGTTGTGTGGGCTGTCTTGTGTATTATAGGTTGTTTAGTAGAATCACTGGCCTTGACCCACTAGATACCACTAGCTTACACCCTTCTTTCCAGTCCTGAAGTTAAAAAAATGCCACCAGACAGTGCCAGATTCCTCGGGGGAGTGGAATGGAATCACTTCTACCTTTCTTCCTGCTGAGATCAGAGTGTTGTTTGGACATCAGAAATGTGTGCTGCAGGCCGGCACGGTGGCTCATGCCTTAATCCCAGCACTTGGGAGACCGAGGCAGGTGGATTGCCTGAGCTCACAGGTTTGAGACCAGCTTGAGCCAGAGTGAGACCTCATCTCAAAAAATAGCCAGGCATTGAGGTAAGAATTTGGGGTTTCTGTGACCTGTGATGCCACGGCATTCTAGCAACAGGTGAGACTCTGTCTCAAAAAAAAAAAAAGAAAGGCTCAGCGCCTGTGGCTCAAGCGGCTAAGGCGCCAGCCACATACA